ATATATATATACACATAATAATTATAACGATAACGACGACAAACTCCAATGTATGCGCGAAAATGCATAGAAAAAAAAAGGCATAGAATAGATTAGCGGTTGAATAAATGAACGAACTAAGCGAGGCGGTGTATCGATTGGGAAGGATTAATAAATGAAACTGAAACGCATAGACGGTCCCAGGTTGGTCATCATGGTCGAGCAATTCGATCCGTTGCTTATGCACGAACTGCTCGTTATCGCGTAGTGGCGCCTAAGCGTGGAAGATCTTGGATGAACGCTCCCTTGTTATGTCAGTTTGAAATATAATTTATTAATGAGAGATTATTAGGATAAATATATTTAATATTATATAATTAGAATAAATACATTTAATAAATATATATATATGTTTAACAATATATATTAAATGTATATGATTAACAAAAGAAAAGAAATTTATCGTTATACAATTCAATATAAAAACATGCGAGCTTGATGTAGAAATTAGAAAGCTAATGTTTTTTTATTTCAGGAATTAATATTGTTTGTTTGCAATTGGTTTTAAAAATCATTTGTATACAAGTATTCGATTAATTTTTGAAATTTGTATTATTTACCGATCGATATTTACAAATATTATGTCAGACAAAAGAACAAAGGCAGTTGTAATATATATGGCTTCGTTTACCGATGCATTTTCCGTATTTTCTGATGTTGGAGGTATTCTTTTAATCACTGTGAATGGCAATGAATGATGCTCAACGTGATTTACGTAACGTGATGTGACGACATCTCGACAATTGCTAAGCATTCAATTATCAATTATGAGTCATAGTTCTAGTATTTGCAAAAATGCTGTTTCATATTTTTGACCTATTTTTTTCATGGTGGTGACCCTTATCTCTTCACGACTGCTATTACTTATCACTTAAAGCACTAAAGTAACTTGTATACAATAACTATACAACAATTTATAAAATAACTGAATTCGCAACTGAAAAGAATATCTCGTAATATTTAAAAAGATCTAATATAATTTATATAATTAGTATAAAACCATTGTTAATTTGTATATAATTTATTTGTAATT